CTACTCGCTCACTACTCGCTCGCATATATCGATAGTATCGAAGTACCGTACGTATCGCGCCCGACTATTATAATCGCGACTAAGTGAGTGTACGAAAGAATCTGTGAAATATATCAATTTATACCTAACGTTCGGGAGTGTCTTATTTCGAGCGTGGATCCTAATCCTTTGGGCGTATAAATCCTTGAAGACCTCTTCCTTAGCGGCTAGAGGCACAACACATTATATATGATGCACATAGTATTTAATACCCATATAGTATTTTTCTTATAAATAAATGGACAGATATGGGCAAAAAAAAAAAAGAGAAAGAGAGAGAGAGCAAGCGAGCGAGAGAGAAAAGGGGCGACAGGGAGAGAGTGATGGAGAGGGGAGGGGTGGGAGGGAGTGTGTGTGAGGGAGGGGAGGGAGGAGAGGGAGGGAAAGGGTGGGAGGGAATGGGAGGGTAGAGGAGCAAAGGAAGGGGCGGTGAGAGGGTGGATGTGAGGGAGGGGTGAGAGAGGGGTGAGAGAGAGATAGGGGCGAGTGAGAGGAGAGAGAGGTGGGGCGAATAGGAATAAGTAAGCGAGGGAATGCTGTAAAACGATATATCGATTGATAATTCACATCAGTCACTACATTAGTGAGCCTAAAGTATTGCTACGGAGAAAAATATAACTATTTCGTTTTTTTCTTACTTTTGGCACTTGTACAGACACTTGCTCACTTATACTCATATCCTCTTTCTCTCTTTATCCATTCTTCTTTGTCCATCTCTTTCTTATCCGAGCTTACTATACGTGTGTTATGTATTATCTACATGTGTGTATATGTTTGTGTATATGTAATAGTAATTTTAAATTTATTAAAATATCATTTTTGTTACATTTTCAAAATATTTAAATATGTGTATGAATATGAGATATATACAAAAATATCAATTTTTTATTTATATTAAAAATACATTCTAATAAATTAATTATTTAATAAATGAATTAATAGGGAGAAAAATTAAAATTTTAATATTTAATTAAAATTTGATTAAAGTTTAGAATTTAAAGATAAAATAATATAATTTCAAAAGAAAATATAGAGAATTGAATAATTTTGATTAAGAAAATATAAAAAATTTTTTACATGAACAATTTATTTTAAACAGGGTGTTCCAAAAGTAGTCAACTTCTTTTATATTTTAAACTGAAAAAGAAAGATCATATCAAATTAAATGGTATAAACCGAATTCTATTGTGAGCATAGTGGTTGTTAACAAAAGCTATAACAAATGAAAGGCATGCATAAATTTTTTATAATAATATCAATATTTCGATATAATAAAAGTTGTAGTATTGTTTGAGATAAATACAATGCTGCATGATGTTAATATTTTACATATTATACGAGTTTTATTGGCTGGAAATTTCGCGGGCGACGTCTACCTTTTCGCTTTCGGCCTGACGATATAATCAATTTCTGATTCGTGCGTTACTGATTGACGTATATCATGTTGTCATTTGATCATAATAATGAGTCAGAAGTTAGCCATATCGTGGAGCCGAAAGTGAAAAGGTATACGTCACCTGCGAGATTTCAAGCCGATAAAACTCGTTGTAGACATTATATTAAAATAGCATGGCGAAGCATAACAATATATTTCGAAACGCTGGCACCGTTATTGTATAAATAGAATTCGTAGAAAATCAGTGCAGCGGCTTGAGATCCCTACCGCGTTTACACTTTTTCGATTCTCGCTCTTATCGCGCGCGCCGCGCCTCACCGAACGGTCTTCAGCTCAGCTGATTCGGGAATAAACTCCCGATCGGTATTTTCAAACTCTCTCATTTTTCCCGTGACGCTTTTTCAACAGTCAGCTGTAGACTGTCGTCGTACGCACATTATTTCGCTGTACGCAACTTTTTCGAATCTTGTTCAAGTGTGAAATAAAACTTAGTGTCATTATTGAATATACGAGTGAAATTCTTCCATCCGAAATAATCCTTTCGCGAAAATTAGATTATCAAACAAACGCAGCGCTAAAGCTCAAACACTGATATAATACATAAAATATTAACATCATACAGCATTGTATTTGTCTCAAACACTACAACTTTTATTATATCGAAATATTCATATTATTATAAAAAATTTATGCATGCCTTTCCGTTCGTTATAGCTTTTGTTATGCCGGGATTACGATGAACTTAACGTAACGGGACGCGACGGGACGTGAAGTAACGTGACGTGAACTTAACGCTTGAGGTACAACTGTCGAATTACGATCGGCGTAAGGTGCCGTGAAGCACTGTGTAGTTTGACAGCTGTGGTGTAGAAGTTCGTTTTTGTTGTCATTCTCGAAATAAATTCTGCTGTGAGGCATTATCAATTTTTCAATTTAATTTTGGCCGGATATTTGTATCTTCAACTGCGGAAGAAGAAACGAGTCCGAACCGTTGGTGTGAGAGAGATTTTTCGGAGAAGAATCCAGTTTGGTGATGGATATAATTTACTAGAAGAACTTCGTTTCTGTGATCCGCTCTTTTTTTTTTATTTACACAAGGATGAATGTTGAAAGGTAAGATTTAATGATTGTCTGGCACAAAATATAATCATTTTTAAAAAAAGAATTAAAAGATTAATAATTTTTTGGCACAAAGTTTATTTTTACAAATTATATGTTTGCTTTCCTAGATTCGAGTATCTCCTGAGTTTGGTTGGTCCACTGATAAAGAAGCGAGAAATGTATACTGCTATTTCACCTACTCAAAGGCTTGCTATGGCATTGAGGTAAAATCACTAATGTTTGCTTTATTTTAATTTATCAATTACTCAGAGTCGATTCAATTTGTAAATTTGCTTTGCAGATTCTTGGCAGCAGGAGACAGTCAGTATACTCAGAGCTTTTTGTATCGATGTGGCCAGAGCACTGTCTCTCAGATCTTGGCCGAAACCACTCGAGCACTTGACAGTGTGTTGAAGATTGTGTTTGTGAAACCTCCAGCAAATGAAGCGGAGTGGCGTGAGGTGGCTGCTGGATTTTGGGAAGAGTGGCAGTTTCCCCATTGTGTGGGGGCCATTGATGAAAAGCACATTCAAATACAGGCTCCACAAACTTCCGAAAGTATTTACTTCAATTATAAGAAGACATTTCGCATGGTTTTGTTGGCAGTTTGTGATGTACACTACAACTTCATCATGCTGGATGTAGGAGTAGAAGGCTCATAAAGTGATGGCGGAGTTTTTCAATCGTCTGAAATGGGTCGGCGATTGAATGATGGAACTTGCCAAATTCAAGTTGTCTACCAGGAACTGATATTGATATGCCCTACTTCCTTGTAGGAGATGCAGCTTTCCCTCTGAAGCCTTTCCTGATGAAACCCTATGGCGAGCGCAACATACCCCATGATCAATCTATATATAACTTTAGGTTGAGCAGAGCAAGGAGGGTGATTGAAAATGCCTTTGGTATTTTAGCAGCTCGTTGGAGGATTTTTCGTCACCCTATTATTGCTACAGAAGACAATGTGGAAAGCATCATTGAATGTGCTGTTTGCCTTCACAATTTTATCCGCAAGACAGGCGATAGGAAACTCAACCTGGAGTACTGCCCCCCTTCTTTTATGGATCTTGAATTGCCAACTGGCAAACTGGTAGAGGGAGAATGGCATGATATTGTCGCTGGGGAGAATAGAGCCATCATTAATGATCTACGGATGGGTGCAAGAAATGCTGCTCTTGGAGTTTTACAACAGAGAAATGCTTTGAAGGAATTTGTGAATGGGCCTGGGGCTATGCGCCATCAAGATACCATTGTGAGGATCCGGCAAGGAATTATCCCTCCTCAGGATCTACGCTTACTGTAGTTTTGAAATGAAATAAATCAAAATACAAAACATAAATAAAATATTTTTATTTTCAAATAAAATTCATGGCAAATGAACTATAACTACAACAACATATAACTATTGTATAACTACAACTATAACTATAACTATAACTATAACAACATATCTGATAACACGTAATTAATCCGAATTTTTTAAACCTTCAGCCTCCTCCTCACAATCTTGAATGACAGATCTAAATTTCCTCCTGTACTTCAGCTTCAATGCCATATTTGTTATACTCTTGAGACAAGACTCATCATTTTTACCGATTAAGACGTCTGGATCGTTAATGTCAATTGAAGGTGGTGATGGTGGTGATGGTGGTAGTGGTGAAGCACTGGATGCAGCCATGGATTTATTCAGAATGACAAGAGTTTCTTTAAACATTTCAGCCGTCTCGTCTACCTTTGGCTTCTTGCACCGACCTGTAGGCACTAAGTAGGGCATATTTGCAGCTGCTGACGATGAGCTGCATCCAGGTGAAGGTGACGAGAGGGGAGAGCAGGTAGCAATTACTTTAAATGGAGTACTAACTTCATCCACAGCCTGCTTGTCCAATATTGTTTCAATGCTTGGCGATTCCAATGAATCCCGCAGAAGCGACACCTCTTCGTCTGTCGATGATTATGTTGGTGAAGGTATGGATATGAACACCGACGCCTTTGGTGGAAAATTGTCCCCACAGATCTACAACCGGAAATAATTAAAAGAATTACCGCAATCATCCGAAAATACGTAGAACAAACTGCCATACTAAACTTACCTTCTTTTTCTAATGTGAGGTATCAAAAATGATATTATGCTGTATAGGGGCCATTCTGGACGGGTTGAGACCGCTGCTCCAGACCTCCCCTCCAATTCGAGAATACGTTCCTCCTTCGCGAACCTCTCGCGAAGAGTATGCCATTTGGCCATGCAATCTGTCACTGATGCTGATAAATAATGATGATATAAATATATAATAATATAATAATAATCGCCACGGGCTGACTAGCTCGCCTGACGGTAGAGGGGCAGGGCGAGTGTTGATCGAACGCGATAATTTATGCAAGAGGCGACAATTACGGAAACGACAAGCACAACTGAAAGGAAACTCGTAAATTAAACAGAGAAATTAACAGATTTATTATAATAGCGGGAGCCGCAGAGAATATTAATGATAAACCGCGCGGATATACGGCTGCGGTAAAAGAAACGCGGCTGCGAGACTGGGTGATAGACGCGGGGCGCGAAACCCCGTAATGTGGACGTCGAGACCGACCCGTTAGACCGGCCGGAATGTTCGCTCGGCTTGAATTACGCCTCGCACTGCGAAGAAATTGAATATTACGTTCTTCTATAATTCGGGCGTAAGTCGGAGAGGGACTCGGCGGACGCGCGCGAGACGGCAACGTCACAATATATATATATATATATATATATATATATATATATTACTATATTACTATATTACTATATATATATATATAGTAACGTGACGTTTTTGGGACGTCCGTCACAAGGGCCGAATGGCCCGATCGGGGGCGGTTTTTCGGGGGCCTATGTCCTTCCGATTTAGGGAGAGAACGGCCCGATTGTCAGTTCGACAAGATCTAGCTTTCGTTGGTTTTAAGAAGCGAAAATGTAAGCTCGTTGTGAGCCCGCGAATTGTCGGCATATGGTTGAGCGGCGAGATCCCATCCGGCGGAAAGGAAGGAAGAAAGAAGAGAAGCGGCCGAGAGCGGGAGTCCGAGATCTCCAGGGAGCGGGAGCCGTCAGGTCATAATTACGTTATTCATAATAAATCGTTGGTAAAATGTAATCATCGCTACCGTTCATATGTTCTATCTTTTACGGCAGGAAAGAGGCGTGGAGGGCCGGATGAATCCGGCCAACGGGGCGGCCCCTCCACCCACACGAAGCGGTAGAGTCCCAAGGACGGGGCGGCGAGAGGACTCTCAATCCGGAGCCTATTCGACCAAATAGGAAAGAGAGCCGATCGGACGCAGCTGAAAGCCCGCACCTCCAAGCCGCAAACAACAACAAAATTTGGAAATTCCGGGGCGATGAACCCATCAACACAGCCGTGACGACAACAAGGACCGCGAGGACCGCAGGACGGCCCTGCGTAACACGAAAGCGCCACAGGTGGCACGATAGCGATTTATCGCGCCGGCGTGTCTCCTACAGGACTCTCGCTCGGCACTGTTCGGCGAGCTATCAGGAAGGACGCAGGTCCCTAAGAGCGTGCGAGCGAGATCGGATCTTTCGAAGGAAAACCCGAAATCTTCCAGCCGGTGGGACGAGCGTCGTCGATCCGATTTTGTTGCCGATTCATTGTAGGTAATTAATTCGGATGAGTCGAGCCCTTAATAGTTGTCGAGCCACGCGTTTTGTGCATTAACTTTTGTGGAATTTTTGGTAAATTGTGTCGCACGGCCGACGGGCATTCGTCACTCATCCGAATTATATAAAACTAGCTTTTAGGCCCGCGCTTCTCAGATCTCGATATATAGGGTGATTCGGAACAATCGTTTGTCCTTAAAAGTATTCCTGAATCAATTCTAAGACAATTTTTCCTTTACGGAAATTTTGTCTAAAGCTTAGTTTTTAAATTATAAAAAGAGATAGTTAGCGAATTACGGGACGAGTGTAGAAGGTAGGCAGAGGCGGCGCAACTCATCCCATGCAGGCGCTTACGTGAGGCGCTCGCTACAGCTGATCGAGCGCTGTTTGCTACACGCGATGGGTGTGTATGTATATGAGAACGTGTATGTGTGTTTATTACGCGTACGTTTCTGCGAACACGTATGTTTTATCAATACACAGTCTCACGTAATCTTCATATAGTTACACGAAAATCCAACATACCCTTGATCATTTCTGACAAAATTTATTCTGTTATCATATTATATAAATACTAGCTTTTAGGCCCGCGCTTTGCGCGGGCTTCAAAGTCTATCCGTCTTCAATATTTTACCTGGCATATAATGGATGTTATATTTTTTATTATTTATTCACATATTTTTTTTAATGATTGACGTACTCACCGTTAATCCACTATTATTATGTATTCACCATTAATCCACTATTATTTGCTATAATTTATTTTTATAATTTTTCTCTTTATAAAACTTCTCTCTATATGCTATATTTGTCCAAAAAGATTTGTTATTTTCTGAAATAAGATTCTCTTAATTGCTGAATTTATCAATATTAACTTTAACAATTTCCCTTTTAGTTCCTTTATTTAAATTTCGCAAATGTTATAAATATTTTACTTGACATATATTTTTTTTATTTTTTATTATTTACTCACCGTTATTTTTTTTTACAGCTGAAGCTCCCATCACTTACCCTTTTTTTGTGTAGGGGAGAAAATGCATGATGCACACCTCACCACCCGATGTGATGAGGTAGTGTGGGACTCTCACCCACTAAAAACTCCTCCTCTGCGCGACCACCTCCGCCCTTCTCTTGTGTTGTAAAGATCCGTTTGCGCATGACTTCCTGGTACACAACAGTCCTAACATTTACCTCCCACGTAATCCAAACATGTCCTTTTTAGTTTCCTCCCCCCCTCCTTTTTTGTGACTCTTACTTTACATATAATATTTTTTATATATTTTATTTTTTAGTCTTCTAATTTTTTTTAACGACTGAATTACCTACCGCTGACCTACTATTATTAGCTCTCATTCAATTTTTTAATTCTTCAATTTATAAAACCTCTCCGTATACAACATTTTTCGTAAAATATTTTGATTTCCTTTAATGAGTTGTCCTTGATTGCTTAATTCATCAATCTTAATTTTTACACAATCCCTTTCGATTGTTCTAGAAAATGCTACATATAGTTGACCATGAGCAAATACGGGATGTGGCAAATAAATACCAACTTTTTGTAACGTTTGTCCTTGAGATTTATTTATTGTCATAGTAAATGACACTTGAATAGGAAATTGTCTTCGTTTAAGCTTAAATGGAATTACCCTATTATTTGGTAAGAAATCGATCCTTGGTATGAAGATAATCTGACCTCAGGAAGAACCAGTTAGAACTTCTACATAAATAAGATTAGGTTTTAAATCAGTTACAATGAACCTTGTGCCATTGCAGAGTCCTTTTTTAATCACCACGTATTCTTTCTTCATCCACATTATACTCTGTTACGTAAATATTTACTGGAGTTGGATTTGGCAATTGGAAGTTCTCACATGTACTTCCATTATTTATCAGAATTTCTTGTATATGGTTTAATGCCATATTTTCAGGATTTACAACATTGTTGTGTACAAAGTACTCAATCATAAAATTCTTGTATTTATTCCAAATAGTTGGTACATCTGTTGGAGTTCCAAAGATGCAAATGTAGGCAAATAATTTTCGAAGTTGTGCAGGCATATTTGATTCTGTTGCTACCTCCAGAGTTTTTATTCAAAAATCATCAGCTTCTACTAATTTTCCTTCAATTGCTGCATCCTTAAACGTCTCATAAAGAACTCCATTTACAATTTTCAAATCTTCAAAACATTTAGCTCCAGCCACATGAAGTAAAAGAAGACGTAGATAAAATCTTTCAATATCTTTTATGCTTACTGTGTAAAGTCTTGAAATTATTTTGTCACCACTTTTTTTGCGTATCTTCCACTTAGTTTCTTTTTTATCATAAACATAGTGATAAGGGATATCTGTGTAAAGAAAATGCATCGCATTTTTATCAGATTGATTTAATTTGAACCATGCAGTCAACGTAGTATCTTGATTGAGCTCTCTTTGAGCAGCTTGCTCTTCATTTCCCACTCTGAAATAAACTATTTGACAATTAGGCAAATGAACTGCCAGTCTTATTACTGTGTGAGACTTCATAAACAGATCGTATCCGTTCAGTCTCCACATTGCTTCTGGAGCACTAACATATCTTGCATCCAGAAATGAGTTAACTTCATCTATTTTAATTAACCTTGTGCCATTTCGTGTTTGCAGTTCAATTGCAG